AACACATGTTTTATGTCTAGATCTTTATTTTCCTCCACTATACACTAGGCTGCTTCTTTTAGGATAAACCTTTCTTTTTGTTCAACCAAGGCATTTTCTTGAGAGGTGCTATCACTAGATCCTATCTCTGGAACTTGGCAACTTTCAGTTTAAGCCTCAGGAAATCCTAAATGTAGAATGGGAACTTGACAGGTTAATTAGTTTATTCAAGCTCAGATATAAGTATTATTAAAGTATATTCTGTAAAACTCTCTATGTGGTAAGTAACAAAAACCTCAAATTGAAGCCATTTGAGCAAAACCTAAATAGTTCAGGGATATAGCTCTGGTTGCATGAGGAGCTTGATGTAGGACTCAAACAGCATGAGCAACACTCTTGATGCCTCTCTATCAACTCTGCTTTTGATTCCGTTTCAAGCAGACGTACACTTCATGAACCCATGATGGCAGCTGGAAGCTCTGGGCTGCAAAGTTTAGGTACAGAAGGGGTACACAAAATCCATTTTTTTCAGGAGTCCCAGGGAATATCTCATTGTATCTCGGCTTGGATTCAGTCACATGCCCATTTCTGAACCAAGTACTGTAACCTCAGTCATGGTATACCCTAGAACTGAAGGGTAGATCAATTTTAAATGATCCACATGGCTGAAAATGTAGGGATAGTTGAATTACCTAAAGAATAACCAGAATGCTTTTGGCAGGAAAAGGAGGAGGAAACTGATGATGCTGGGAAGTTAAAAAAAAAAACAAAAAATTATGTTCAATTGTGAAACTTGATATTTTTGATCACATTAAAAATGATATTTATTTAGCTATATTCAAACATACACAAAAATATAATAATATAAACCCATATGTAGCCATCATCTAACTTCAACATTGTTGAAACAGTTTGTCAATTAGTTTCTGTTGATTGCTTTTTAAAGCATGATCATAAGATTGTTTTTTAAACAGGCTATGTAAACACTCGTAAGATCAAACATGAAGCCCGAGACCTTGTTTTATGAACATGGATCTAAGTATCAAACGATCATCAGTCTCAAACTGGAAAACATTGTGTTGCCAGTTAGAACAGATGGCTCTGTGCAACAGTAATGCATTGTTTACCTGGAAGTAGAATTTTTTTTCAGTAGGTAAGGCTTTTTCCTGCCTCAAGTCTGATGAATCAATTCCTTAACAACTCTTTCCAGAGGACCTGTAGCAAATGTGTGTTCTGTTCCTGTGAGTCTTTAGGGGTGAATCAGAAGTTTTCCTTGGCGGCAAGGTTTCCGAACACCAGTACTCACGTGCATTGTGCGAGAGCTGAATGTGCTCCAATCTCTTTTGCAGTTGAAAGATGCATGAGTGTAATGCAGTCTGGGACACAGATGATCAAACTGAAGCGTGGGACCAAAGGGCTCGTCCGGCTCTTTTACCTGGATGAGCACCGGACCCGCCTCCGATGGAGACCTTCTAGGAAGAGCGAGAAGGCAAAAAGTGAGACCAACATTTGAATTCTTTGCTTTGCGTAACACATGGGTTATATGGGGTGGGTTCTGTGGAACTTCCATATTTTTGCATGTTCTGGGGTCAGTTGTTAAAGGACATGGACAGAGTAAATAGTGATCATTTTTGCCTTTTTAATTCTTTGGGGGTATTTAAATCGATAAAAGCTTTCTTGCCCATGAATGCTGTAAAATATTAACATGTCCCTTGTGTTAAATAGAGACATGACATTTTTGGTTTTTAATTGGGATGTGGGGTTTTATAGCCTGAGGCCTTTCATTTCCCTATAAAAGTCGAGGGATCTCATAAATCCAATGCACTTTAAAGCAGATTGCCACATTCTGAGCCCAGTTAATGGACTGAGCTAAAATTGTTTTAATGATATCAAGTAAAATACTTCAATCTGACCCCTGGTTAGAGCCTCTCTCCCACACCGTCGCCACTCAGCACCACGTCCGTGTGGAGTCCCCTGTAATGTCTGTCTCAGGCGCCTACCGTCCTCTTTTCGCAGGAACTCCTTCTCCAGGCTCTCCACCCTTCTGGTGGTGAAATCTCCTAACTTAGTTTGCTAGTTTCTTCTGCTTTTACCTGTTAAGATGCTTTCCTCTTCAAGTAATAAAGACCTCGACCAAAGTAGGCTTATGTGATAAACAAATTTATTATCTCACATAACAAGGAACTCAGAGACTGGCAGCCCTCAGGCATGGGACATTGAGTCTCTAGTTCTGTTTTCCCGAGTGCCCTTGGTTCTGTCCCTTATGCATTGGCTTTATAATCAAGGTGGCAGCAACATGGCTTCCGCTATTCTGGGCCTCACAGCTTGATATGACAGTGAAGAGGCAAAAATGGACCTTCTACTCTGGTACTTCTTTTTTTTTAATTGAGGAAAGAACCCCTTTCCAGACCCTTCCCTCACAGCAGATTGCACCTTGGTTAGAAACTGGGGTGCATTTGCATTCCTAAATCGATGATAAGAAACAGGAATGAGGCCACCCCACTGGCTGAGACCTGCCAGAATTTGCCCTGGGGCTGGGCATAGGCTCATTTACCTGTGGGTCCTATGGGGACTGAATTGATACCAGAAGAAAATTGGAACTGTGCCTTTTAGGCCGTGAGGAGAAGTGGACGATATGTGGGGACCATCAATGGGACATGCAACACTCCTGATTCGTGCTTAAAAATGAGCAAGCAAATGGAAAATACTGTTTTAGCCTAAAGCAATCATCTCACCAGTGCTTCTCTGATCCAAACCTTCAGTGCTGCTCCTCTACCTAAATAATGCTGATCTCTGGTCTGTTTTTCTAGGCTCTCTGTGATCTAGCCTCTCCCGGCCCTTCCAGCTTTATCTCCTGTTAACTCTCCATCTTGAGCTTTCCAGTGCAGCATAAGTGGCCTAGCTGGCATTTCTGGAGTGGGCCTCATGTTTCTGTGTCTTTCTGCCTCTTCCCCCGGATGCTGTCTTATTCCTCTCCACCTTTAAGGCCTGCTCTGCCTTCTCCATAATAGCATTTTCACTATTAATGCCAACCACTTTTAACTATGCTATCCATTTGCCTCTGAATTTTTTTTCTTTCAATTTTCTAACCATCTTCTCATGTATATTATAAAACACCAGCGTTGGCTGTGCAGGTCTTTGTATGTTTTCCTTGCATAAATATGTAAACTGTAAATTTAACATATTCATTAGCTCCCTTTTCTTGCCCTGGTGAGCATATTGATTGTTTCATCATCAATTTCAGCCCATGCTTACTCAGTGCCTGGGAGGGCATTGTGCACACGGCCCAGGAAGGTCAAGTCTTTTGTAGAGAAGGCTCCGAGCAGGAACTGATAGGGCTTGTATTTCACATTGGGACTCACAACCACAACTCGTAGACAATGAATTTGTTCATGCTTATTTTTAAAAATTTCAAATGATTTTGCTCTTCTTTTTTTCTGAATCTGTATACATCTCTTCACCTGCCATGTGTTTCACTTTCCTCCCAGTACTTATCGACTCCATTTACAAAGTCACCGAGGGCCGGCAGTCTGAAATATTCCACCGACAGGCTGAGGGGAGCTTTGACCCCAGCTGTTGCTTTACCATCTACCATGGGAACCACATGGAATCCCTGGACCTCATCACCTCCAACCCCGAGGAGGCCCGCACCTGGATCACAGGCCTCAAGTATCTGATGGCCGGCATCAGCGATGAAGATTCCCTCGCCAAAAGGCAGAGGACCCACGACCAATATCCTTCCTAAAACTGTTTCTGAGCTCGGGGTGTGTGTGGTGGTGGTGGTGGTGGTGGTGGTGGTGGTGTGTGTAAGCGTAGACCAGACTATGCTTCATTTTCCTCCATAATTTCGTTCTTTGCCACCTACCCCCTCTGTCCCCTCCTCTCTCTCATTCTAAGTAAATGAATGCATGAAACATATAGACACAAGCTCGTATGAACTCAGGCTTAGACTTCTTCCAAAGAGATTGAATTAAGCGCCACAGTCTGAGAGATCTTCAGTCACAGTTTCCTAAGAGAGATGAGGCAACAAGGAAAGCATTTATTCATATTAGAGAAAATCCTGCTTTGTTCTAGTCAGTTTAGTTTCACAAGTACTTTTTGAGTTCCAGTTATGTACCAGGCACTTAGTGCCTTCCTGCTTTCCCTCTCTTTTTTAACTTATAGTTTGGAAACCGACCTGATTGATACGCAAGGGGAAGTTATTTTTTATTTACAAGCATTTACCTACTCTAAAGTGCTTGAAACACTGGAGGCTGACTCTCAGTCTTGATTAAACCCATTTTTGTGATCCTGCCGTGCTGACAAGAGAGATGTTTCATCTGCTTGGTCTGAAAGGCCCCTCTCCTGCTGGGATGGACCTGTGCATGTGACATGGTGTTGCTGGCCTCAGTTTCCTTACCTGTAAAGTGAGGGTATTAGGCTGCTTTGGTTTCCTTCTGCACATTCTGAATGGCCTTCAAATACATGTGCCCCCATCCACGTAGGAAGCAGTGCTTCCTGCTGTCATTGGCATGTTTCCCAGAGTGGTGATAAATTTGTGCTGCTCTAGCTATACCCCTGCACCTGGGGTGCTGTTGGAGCCGAGTGGAAATGTTCAGCCCGTGAAAGGACTCTGACAGGGTGAACGTCTGAACTGATGAGCCATGATGTTTTCATCAGTGTTCTCAGCATGCAGATAAATGCAACTGGGATTCATAAATGAACTAAACTCAACATGGGAAATAGCTTTCTGTGCTTTATTCTGTGTGTTTGCTTCTTAGCTCATTATCATTTGGTAAAAAACAAGCAAACAAAAACACTGAGTTAGTAAGAATGCTTTCTGATGCAATTAACAATGCCTTAAACAATAAAGAAGATTCATTTTTCATGAACAAGAGACCTGAGATGGGGCAATTCCAGGGTCGTTCATCAGTGGGTCAATGATGTCACAGGGACCCAGGTTCTGCCATTCCCAGTGTGTTGGCTTGTCCCTTCAGCTGGCTACCCTTTAGTTAAAGAGTCGCAGCAGCTTCGGGCCACAGCTCCCAACACCCCTGTCCAAAGGGTGCAAGTTCCTTCTCATAAACCTTTTTTCAAGAGCAAAGAAAAACTTCCCAGGAGACTTCCTAAAGACTACTTGTCATCATTGGCCAAAATTGCTATCGCAGGCCCATTCCTAACGAGAAATTAATGAACATAATTGGACTTTAATCTCAGGACCCTTCTGCAGACTGTAAAGAGTTTTTGTTTATGTGGGTTCTAGCTATAGATATTTCTCATATTAGAAATTTGAGAACTTGAAAAATATTCAGTCATTCATTTAAAATTATAACAAACTCTATTATGTGTTCATGTAACATTTTATGAAGAACAGCTATCTGTTTTCAAGCAAAACAAATTAGTGAGAAGAGTAATATTGATTGCCCTTTTGCAAGTCTCTTTAATGTCTCTGTTACGGATTCTCATATCTGCTCCTGCATTCAGCCTGTTGTGATGTGTGTGGCTATGAATCACTAATCCAGGGTTTTCTCGGGCACTTGTGTCTTAATTAGGAGGAACAACTTTCAGAGCGCCGACTACTTTAACCTGCAGCTGTGTCTTCTTCCATGTGTACTGTTACTAGGAGATGATGGTTTTCCTTTCGCAGAACCTTAGCGTTGAAAGGGACTTCAAGGTCATCTTGTTGTGCTCACTGACATTATAGATGAAGAAATAGAAGCCCCAAGAAGTGACATAAGTGATCCATGTCACAGGGCCAGGTCATCATAGAGTCAGAACTGGTGTGTATTTCTTGGTCTGATTCTACCTTTGCTTCTACCTTTCCAACCCTACTTCCCCTAAACCACCTGTCAAGGCCAACCTATGTGCTGGCACCGAGGCATTGCAGACACAGGCCTACCCTAAAAGGTTTGTGTCTGCATAGTATTCACACTTAGGGTTTGCTTGTCCCTGCCTCTTCTCTGAAGAATTCTTTGAGAGGCTTTGGTAAAGAAATAGAGAATAGGGCGGCTGGTTAGCTCAGGGTTGCAGCGCAGGCTCATAACACCAAGGTTGCTGGTTCGATTTCCACATGGGCCAAGGAGCTGTGCCCTCCACAACTAGAGTGAAGACAACTACTTGACTTGGAGCTGATGGGTCCTGGAAAAAACATACTGTTCCCCAATAAAATTTCTTTAAAAAAATAGTATAGAATAAAAGGATGAAGATATTGCTGTCATTGGATTCATGTCATCATGTCTTTGAACTCTGGCTAAATATTTTGGGAGGCACAGAGCAGTGTCCGCAGTCAGAAGAAATGGAGCTCGGGGAATGGGCACTGTGTGCCCAGAAAACAAAATGAGATTCAGTTACTTACTAGGAATTGGCTCAGATGTTCTACTCTTTTGATTCTTTAGTTATTTATTTTCCCCCTAGTCCTGGGTCACCCTTTATCCTCCAGGTATCACATGCAATGAGGTCAGGTCCTGCCCAAACTCTATGAGGAAAAATTGAACTTGAAAGAGCTGGTCTGGTTATTTTCAAATGCTGTAAAGGGAACAAAATATGAAACAAGGTATTTGCAATCTGACAGTCACCTCTCTTTAACTTTGGAAGAAATAAGACTTTAACTTTCTGGTTGCTTTTACTTTCTAAGGTACAATCTCCTACAATCATTTGAATCACCTAAGAAATGTAGATGTGCTGTATTATCACTGGGAGGTTAGTTAATATTTTGACTTAAAATGAAAATCAGTTTGATGCCACTTGCTTGGTAAGCAATATTACCCAGTGACCCTTTCCTTCAACTTACTCCCATTCTCCCATTTCTTAACTTTAAACCCATGCCTTTTGCTTACTTTGATTCTCTGATTTCTTTTTATCACCTTCATTTCATTCCTCTTCATTACCCTTCAAGTTTTGAAACTCAGTTTGGTTTTCTAAGTATTCACACAATTCCTGCCTTTTGTAATTTACCTCCCAACAACTATGAATCATCCATTTAAAAAAATGCTCTACTAAAACTTGGAATTTTCAGCTCATCCATTTGTTGCCATTTATTCTGCTTTTCCACCGTGTAATACAATGCAGTACTCATCCTCTTGAGGGTCTTTTAAATTTCATTTCATATGATGTAAACCCTTAGCATCTAAATTCAGCTTCATAGCCTCAGTCACTTAGTATTATATGTGAGCTTTTTAAAAAATTTTTTTATTGGGAAATTGGAGAAGGGTGACAGCCAAGTTGTCCTTCAGTCTTAGTTGTGGAGGGCGCAGCTAGCTCAGCTCCAAGTCCTATCACCTCTGGTCGCCTGTCGGCAGCTCGCAGCCTCTCAGCTCAATGTGCCGTGTTCAATCTTAGTTGCAGGTGGGCATAGCCCGCCATCCCATGTGGGAGTCGAACCAACAACCTTGTTGTTAGGAGCACATGCTCTCACCAGCTGAGCCATCCTGCCACCTGTTGGCAGCTCAGCTTGGCTGCAGCTCACTGGCCCATGTGGTAATCCAACCAGTGACCCTGTTGCTCAGAGCCCATTCTCTTAACCAAATGAGCCACTTGGCTGGCCAAATATGTGAACTTTGAGGGCAATCTCTAGCACATTAAGTTTGTATTGTAGTTCATATTACTGCCTTGATTTACAAGTTTTGGGCTATTAGGTCAGAACCATGAAAGCTAGTATAGAGACAGACCTTCTGTGAAGGAGAAGAGCGTGCTAGAGCAGGTTGCCTGAGACCTGGGTCCCTTGCTAATTTTTACCAAATTTCCCCCTCTCCTCTAGTTTACATCCTCAGGTGGACAGTGAGGAGATTGAACTTGATAGTCTAAGTTTCTAAGTGTAAGAGTGGGAATGAGAAAAGGGGATTGGAAAGATCCTGTAGTGTGGGGTGTTTTAAAGGTAAAAAGATACCAGATGAAAGGTCCTAGAGATGATACGGCCTAAGTTTGGCATTTCTTCGCATCACAGAAATGCTTTAACAGATTGGATAATAATGTTGGAGTTGAAGAACCTCTCAGAATAATATGGTTTGACTCATTTCACAGTTAAGGGAATCACCCCTCCTTCCCCCATTTCTCTTGTTGTCGTCTCTGTTAGTAGCCCACTAAGAGCCTGTGGATTGCAGGGCCTTCTCAAAAGAATTTCTCTGAAGTTCAATGTTAATGACAAATGCCTTTGGGAGTATTCTGTGAGAGAGCAGTTTTTATTTTGTGAAAACGCAAGTGTTTTTCTTGACGTTTCTGCACGTGGGTGAAGCAGACCTTTGAGGAAGCTGATAAAAATGGTGACGGCTTATTGAATATTGAAGAGATACACCAATTGATGCATAAGCTAAATGTCAATCTACCCCGAAGAAAAGTCAGACAAATGTTTCAGGTACGTTTTCACAATTGAATTGGCCTTATGTAAAATACACATTAGAAGTTATTGGCATACTTAGATGTTTCAAAAGGCAATTTTGTTTTGTTGGAAGCTAATATTACCTGCTTTGTATTGCTTTATTTTCCTTTGATGGAGAAAGCCATTTTGTTTCATTGAGGAAATAAAAAACCTTCTAAACTTACCCATCCACGATTTCACTTCCTAAAATGCTTTTTTTGTTGTTGCTGTTTTCAGAGAGTAATTATAAGCACTTTACTTGACAGATAATGGAGGAAATGTGATCAAGGCTCTCAAAGAGGATGATCATTTCTAATCTGCCTACCTCACAAGCTGTTGTGAGGATCAGAATAAAGACTAACATGAAAAAAAAAATAGCACTTGTCGAAATCTTGAAGAGCCCTCTATTTTGTTTCAGAGGAGTTTAAGATTTAGAATCCTCAAATCTCAGAAGTGCTGTATCACTCCTACCTTTTAGGGCGCTCTCCAGAAGTTCATTCAACTGCTGGTTGGTGTTAGATGGAATGCTATTTCCTTGTTGGTAAGTGCTTGAGGTAAATCCTTGGGCCCCAAATTATTCTGCAGCATCTCTCTGGGACTGTACTTAGTCCCCTGTCTAAGGTGCAGAAATCAACTCTGTTAAGTTTAAATTGGTGCAAAGACAATGTTAGCTTATTAGTAATTACTGGAATATTAATTTAGAAAAGGCTTTTATTTGGAGGTAAGTTGTATGCATAATCCATGTTTTCCAGTGGTTTTCTAAGTGGCGAGGTAGGTGACATTTTGTACATGTAAAAATAAGTATAGGGAGTGATATTTTGTGGTGGTTCATGTTTTGTGCTTCCTTTGTTTTCTACCCACTTGCTCTTAGAGGTGGTAAGGGCATGAAACATCATGAGGGGGGAGTTGCAACAAGGAGTGGAAGATGGAGGCTGTCTTCCCTCTGGGACCTCTTATGGTGGTTCTGTCCTTGGAAGCTTGTGGCTGGAGATGGTTTGCACTGTGGGGAACGTGGTCCCAGCACTGGAGGACTACATGAGGGAAAGGAAAGAAGAGGAAGGAATGAGATATGCTATAGACGAACCCCAGAGATGGAGTGAGAGTCTTAGGAGGGGAAATGCATTGTCACAGATAGAATGAACTGTCTTCAAACTGTACGAAAAAGTTTACCATGTTCCTGGCACTCCCTGTGACATCTCACTCTTGTCCTGTTTTGAGCCTCACCTCCCCATGTGATCCTTTCCACAGGAGGTGATCAGCTACCTGAAAGGGTAGCTGCTGATTAAATTAGCGAGGCCAAGCTTAAAGAGGAGTGCAAAGTTTATACTTACAAAAATAATGATTTTCTGGGTCCTTTTTGGAAGTAAGATAAAAGAAAGAAACATAAGATACTGAACTATTTTTACTTCTATATTTTCCCCTTCAAACACCTTTTATCTCTAACGCACCAAATATTTTAGAGGATAAACCAGGAAATGTTTATGTGAAATGCCTTATGTGTTCAAAGTAAATCCTTTAGAGATGTTTTAAGAAAACACTAAGGGTCTCCTGCTGTGACCTTACATTTAACAGACTTATTAAGCCAGAAGTGAGTGGAGAAGTTGGGCCTAATGTATGTAGAACATTTCTACCACAGGCGTTTCTTCTAGCACGTTCTGTAAGTGCTCAGGATGGGGTGATGGAACCAAGGATCTTAGTATATTTCAGGAACATTCTCTCTCTCTCTCTCTCTCTCTCTCTCTCTCTCTCTCTCTCTCTCTCTCTCTCTCTCTCTTTCTCTCTCTCTTGATTGAATTATGGTCAAGTCATTAAAGCCTTCCTAGAATCTTCTTTGCCTTTTTGCTGCAGCGCAAGAATCACCTGACTTTTAAGTAATATATTGAGTTATAGATATCTTCTTTCAAAGTCTTTGATGCTATGATTTAAACCTCAGAGTTTTACTATTCTTAATTGTTTGGGTATTTATTTACAAGGAAGTCTTGAAAAATGTTTCATCTCTGTTAGATATTTTGAAACCATGTTTCAACCAGGGTTAGATATTTTGAAACAAAATTATGACAGAAATATAAACATTAGCCCTAGTTTCTGAGGATGCAAAGACTCTGCAACCAAGAGCTTCAAACACCAAAACTGTTGATATTCTATAGATCAGTCTCTTGCTACCTTTAAAATGACAGAAGGAAGCAGCAACCAACCTCACTAAGACTCTACGAGTATGTATGATTTGAATATTGGTTAAAGTGTTTGCTCATAATTTAAAGAGATATATTTTAATGCACACTTTGACTTTCAAACACATGTTTAAAACCACATAATAGCTGCATACACTTTACAAAACTCATGTCTTTCAAAATGTTTCCCTGTCGTTTTTTGTTCAGTTACAGCTGTGTACATTTAGAATGAAGAAGATCACGTAAATGGATTGGCTGCTCATTATGTATTTCCAACCGTTTTATGATTTTATGACAAATTCAGCCAATTAGAAGGAAGATACACAGTGAAAGGTTCTTGCCCAATAATTACTAGAAACAAATAATTTGAGCTGCAAATCAGTCCAGATGGATTTTTCAGACTTCTGTGGAGGAAAAGCAGGGCAGTGCCAATGGTGGTGATGGCTGTGAGAACACTAAGCTAGCTCTGCAGAATTAAGAGAGATTTTTTTTTGTAGGTAAAAATTACATTTGATTGAAATGCAATTCAGAAGCTGATGAGACACTGGTATTTTTATCATGTGTTAAATATATCTTCTCTTTTTTTGTTCCTGATTAGTCTTGTTCAAGTTTTCTCTTTTTCATCAGTTTCTTCAAAAGACCAGCTTTCAGCTTAATTGCTCACCTTTAATGTCATATCCATTTGTTTTCTATTTCATTGCTTTTGCTTATAATTTATTTCCTTCTATTTTCTGTGGCCGAAGTTGTTTTCTAGCTTTTTGGGTTGAATTATTAGCTTATCTGGTTTTAATCTATCTTGCTTTTTAATAAATTGAAAACTTCAAATTTCCTCTAATTACTGCTGTAACTTCATCACAGAAGTTTTAATACGTAGTGTGTGTGTTCACTTCTATATGTTTCATTTCCTGCTTAGAAATGTATTATGTTGTTTCCAGACAGTTTTTTTTTAAAGCTCTCTTTGTTGATTTATAAATTTTTGGTGATCAGAGAAATTAGTTTTTATAAAGCGGATTCTTCATAATTTATAACTTTGCTTGCGGCCAAATATGCAGTCAATTTTAAAATTGATCCATGTGTGCTTGAAAGGAATGTTTGTTTACCATTTGTGAAATGTATCCTAGCCTTTTTATAGTAAATATTATTCCCCAGGACCGAATTTCCTATTTCACACTCTCACACTGCCTTGTTTTTTCTATTCGTTTTTCAGGAAGCCGATACAGATGAGAATCAGGGAACTTTGACATTTGAAGAGTTCTGTGTTTTTTACAAAATGATGTCATTGAGGCGGGACCTTTATTTGTTGCTCTTGAGCTACAGTGACAAGAAAGATCACCTAACTGTGGAAGAATTGGCTCAGTTTTTGAAAGTGGAGCAAAAGGTATTATCAGACTATTGAATATTTGCTTAAAAATACTTATGAAAGGATCCATGGGCTTTTCTTGGGGTTGGATGTAGATATACTTTAAATTTTGGATACAGGTGTAAATATCATAATTCCACAAAAGTCTTACCTATGAGTTATTTAAAACATGTTTCCAGCAGCTTTTAAAGAGGGAGTGATAAATTGAACACAGATAACTTTTAACCTTAAATATATTGAGTATAGATATGCACATTTTCCCACAAAGTTGAATGGTAACTCATGTGTTTCATTTTAAATACAATGGTGATGTTTTCTTTATACTAGTAATAGAGTTAGTTATTTATTAACTATGATGTAATTCTTAACTAGTAGTATAAAAATTCATTGATAGTTCTGATGAGAAATTGGCATTTGATCATATGAGAAGGTGAAGTAAATTAAGTCCTGATTAGCAAAGGGAATCCCTAAATATATTTAAATTAAAACTTTTAATTTTAATACTACCGTATGTAGGCTGAATTGTGGTCAACAAGGTGAGGCTTGTCCTACTGCTTTTTAAATGTTACCTTAAACTCTGTTTCTCACCAAAGTAGAATAATAAATAAAAAAAAATTGTGTTTTGGTTTTCCCCAGCTTTACTGAGGTATTCTTGATGAATAAAAATTGTATATATTTAAGGTGTACAAGATGAGGTTTGATATATGTATACATTATGAAACGGTTACCATTATCAAGCCAATTAACATATCCATCATCTCACATAGTTTTTTATTTTTTTGTGTTGAGAACACTTAAGATCAACTCTCTAAGCAAATTCCAATTATATAAAACAGTATTATTAACTATAGTCTTCATGTTGTGCATTAGTTCTCCAGGACTTATTCATTTCGCATAATTGAACCTTGGTACCCTTTGACCAACATCCTCCCCCCCATCCTCCCAACCCCCAGTCCCTGGCAGCCAACATTCAACTCTCTGCTTTTATGATTTTGACTTTTTTACTTCTACATGTAAGTGAGATCATGCAGTGTTTATCTTTCAATGGCTGACATTTCACTTAGCATAATTTCCTCTAGGTTTTAGACATGTCACAAATGGCAGGAATAATTTAATCAATCCTACCTATGTCATGAAACCTCTAGAAAACCCCTTAAACCATGGGGTTTGGAGAGCTTCCTGGTTGGTAAAACACATAGAAGTGCTGAGAAGGAGGTGTGCCCTGAGAGTGCAAGGAGGCTCCAAACAACTCCCACCCCACCTTGGCCCATGCATCTCTTCCATTTGGCTATTTCTGAGTTGTATGCTTTATAACAAACCACTAATAGTAAGTAAAGCACTTATCTGAATTCTATGAGTCATTCTAGCAAATTATGGAGGCAGAGTCCTGGGAATTGATAAAGACTTTCTCCTTGACTAAATTCTAGGCAGGCTTTTCTGATCCTTTTGCAACCAGGCGCCATCCATGGGCCTTGTCCTCAAGAGTCTGGTTGAAGCAAGAATCCTGCTCAGTCAGTTTAACCAGAACCCCCATCAGATCACCTTTGGTATCTGATAAAATTCCTCATTCTCTACTGTCTATCTCCCAGGTGATATCTGATTGCGCTGGCCTGCCTTCAGCAAGAATCCTGTTAAAAATCAGTTAGAATCCTTTAGCCAGAATCCTTCTTATCCCCGATGTTTGCTCTACCGACTTCCCTACTCTGCTCCTTGACTATAAATCCCTACTGGTCCATCCTATATTTGGAATCGAACCAGTTGTATACTGAGTTCTCTTTTCCCCTCTTGCAGTACGTAGTTAGTGATTAAAATCTGTTTTCACTGCTTTAACTACGGTCCAGTTCTGGATTTTCTTTGACAGAATGCCCAAATTTACAGTAGGCCAGGAGAAATGGGGATAGCCTGAACACATCCTTTGTGGCTGGTGTCTGATGTGGGGGCAGTCTGTACGATTGAGCCTTTAATCTATGGGGTCTAATTCCACCTCTGGGTGGTTAGTGCACCCAGTTATGCCAGAGAATTGATTTGGTTGGTGTCAGAAAAATGACACTGGATTTGGTACTATTTTACTTGACTCCCTTATCACAATCACATACACTTTAGGAATAACAGATTGAGATTTTATGAATTTTCTTGTTGCTTTCCTAAGGATTAAATCAGATAGTGTTAGCAAAATGTTTTTATCTAAATCAATAGTTTTCATGAATTTGATAATTTGGCAAAGCCAGAGATTCTCCATTAATGAAGTTACCTATGAGATAGGTAGGAAATGGGAAAGAGGTAAGAGAAGAAATTGCTTTTTGCCCAGAGAATGTACCCTTTCTACATCTCGACTCCTCTGTTTCCTGCAGTAATAACTGCTTCTCCATTCTCATTCCGAAGACCTCTTTATGGTATGTGAACAGAACGTTAGAGCAGGGGCCCAGAAGACCTCCATCCCTCACACACCCTGTATACTTTATTGGTTGGAAAACCTTGCTCAGATCAATCAATACTGTTTCTCAGCCTTCAGTTTCCTGATCTGTACAAAGGGGAGCTGATATCTACCTTAACTATCTCACAATGTCAAATTGAAGATTGATTGTAATGGTGAATGTGAAAGTCCTTAGAGAGATTCAGAAGCACACCGATGTGAGAAATTAAAATTAAAATGTTTAAAGCTACTGACTTCAAATTCACGTGGGCTAGTGGAATTAACCCAGTCCATCTGAATGGCACTAGTGGGTGTCACTTCTTAATGGTCATAATGTGTCTTCCCTTCTTGTGGTTATACTGACATTCAACTAGTAAATTTTAGTCGGGGAAAACAGGAGCCAGCATTCTGGAGCAAGGATCCAGCCCCTGGCAGATGATCACCTGAATCCAGCTCAATTTTCTAAATTAACTTCAAACCACATATGGGCATAACCTGAAAGAAATTTTTAGAATTATGATTCATCAAGAGACATGAACTCTAAAGGAAAATATTAATGTCCTGAAATGTTAAGTTTATATGTGGTCCAATATAGCAAACACCATAAAATTAATATTAAGTACAAATTAGGGAAATATTTGCAACATATAAAAGAAATCGTGAATTTCTCTCATAGGCTATTGAGAAAAAAAGTGAATATCAAATAAAAAAATGGGCAAAACATTTGAAATATATAAAAAAATTCAAAAAAGTCAATAAACCTATGAAAAATGTTCAAACTTCATTAGTAATTTTAAAAAATGTGAAATAAAACCAAGAGACAATTTTTTGCTCATCAAATTAGTAAAGGTTAAACAAGTTACTACTAAAAATGGTGTCCCTTCCTTATGCTTCTGGTGAGGTTGTGGAATGGTACAATCTTTCTATAGGACAGTTTTATTGATCAAATGTTGTATAGTTTATTAAGTTTTCACCAATCCATTTTATTTCTAGCAATTAATTTATCCTAAGGAAATGTATATAGATAAAAGTTACAAGGTTATGCATTCCAGCATTATTTACAACAGAGTAAAATTGGACGTCATCTAAATGTATAGCAAGAGAGTTAATAGTCAAGAATGTTACGAGGGTTTGAATTTTAAAATGGGATTTCCACAATGGAACAAATCTAAGCCGATTTGACTACCCATAGGGCAGTATGTAATTCATTAATTTCTGATGGCATATGGTTCGGGTAGACACCAGAGTATTCAACTTTTACAGACTTCCTTAGTGGCGAAATGAAATATCACTGCTGGCTACATATGCTGTCAAGAATTATGGGAAATCAAACATTGGCCCACGGGTCCGATTTTTATTTCACTGAGGCTCTCTGAAAATTGAATTTATGCCTTTGACAGGTCCAAGTGCTGTTTGATTAGGACATACATCCTTCAAATGTGGATATGTGAAAGAAACTTCTCACCCTTTTATGTCCGTGAAGAAGTTCCGGTTAAGCCAGAAGCCAGCAACAAACCAGCTGGCTGAGGTTTCTCGTGCATTTGCAGATAAAAATTGCAGACGTCCATGTCTGTGGTTCCAAAGCACTAGGGCTGTTGGAGGTTTTTAGTTTCACTCCCACCCCATCCCCTGGTGTTTGCCAAAAAACAACCTATGTCTCCTCCGGAATTCCTATCCATTTCTTGGCACTGGGGCGGAATGTGTTTTGTGTTCAGTCCTTTTCAGATTTTTGGTTCAGGAGGGATCATTCAATTAAATTCCCCCATTGCCCATCACAACCTTTCTTCGCAAGCCTCTACACTTTTTTTGGTCTTTTGGTTTCTTATGTATTGAGGAGAGAGGAAGAGAAGACAGGAATATTGAAGTACCCTTAAAGTTTGAAAAACCTTCTACCTTTTAATTAAGAGAAAAGGCTATTTCCAGAGAGAAGTCAAAAGCAGATTTCTGTGTATATAGTGCTTTCATCAGTATGTGCATGGATATGGTTAATTCCAGGGGATTTTTTGAAATTTTCTGATTCCATGCTAGAGGGGCTTCTTATTTGTAACTTTGTTTATCTAACATAGATCTATACATTATCTTTTTGTGATGGTTCTACCAGTTGCTCCCTTTTCTTCTTTATTCTGAGAGAAAGTGCCTGTTGTTTTAAACCAAGTTTGTGGTAATTTGTTATAGCAGCCCTAGGAAAGTAACAGCAACCCAAGGGAAAAAAAAACCCTAAAGATATTTATATCAGAAATCTCCTAACAAAATAGTTCAGCCAGAGAATTCTACAGTGAAGCTCATGAGTCAATAAGTTCTGTTCATGAATACAGAACTTCCAACCAATTTTTTTTGTCGTCTTGGTTTTAAATATGTTTTTAAATAGCTAATTTTAAAAATGGGTTTTAAATAGCCAAGGCTTGCCACATGTTTGAGGAAAAGCTCTAGTATAAGAAGCAGAGGCCAAGGCAAACAAATAGATTCAAAGAAGTTGGAGGAAATAGAGGCAAGGCAGGGAGAAGGAAATTTTTAAAACTGATATTAATACATCAGAGTGATAGAAAAATTGCAGCCATGAAGCAAGACCAAGGTGCTATGAGAAAAGAACATAAAGTTGAGAAAACTACCTAGAAAGTTGAACAAACAAAAAAGAAATGGAAAATAGAAAGAAAAGATAAGGAAATGAGTAGATTGACCCAGAAAGTCCACTAGCTGAATAACAGGAGTTACAGAAAAAGATAAGAAGAAACAGAAGGGAGGAAATTATCAAATAAATAATACAAGAAATATTAACAGTGAAAGATAGGAATCTCTAGATAGGCAAGCGCTCACTGAATGCCAAGAGCAATGAATGTAGGAAGATCCACGCAGAGAAAAGTCATAGTAAAATTTTGCAATGCCAAGGATAAAGTGAAATCCTAAAAGCTTGCAGAAAGAGAGAAAAAAGAAACTAATCAAATCAGCGAACAAAAATAGGTCTCATGAAAAGAACTGGAATCAGAATGGCATCAGAACACATTATTTAATGTAAAGAACCATAAATGTAAAACCCATTATTTAATGTAAAATAAATCAAATTTTCCTATATAAGCCAGTTGCCTTATACAGTAAGAATAATCATTGGTGTTGGAGACAGCGGGTGGCTCAGCTATTGACAGCAAACAAAACTTTCAAATGAACTCCATGGGAAATAGGGAGAAAGTGTTTCTATTTCACCTTACCAGCTAGGTCAAATGAGAAGCAAATCATGGGGGTGGGGTGGGGAAGAGAGCAATAAAGAGCGTTAACCTATATTGAAACTTCATTCAGGCATTAAACCCCAATATAACATTTTAAGTGAGGTGTACAAAATTCGATTGTGTAAAATGTAGGATTTTACTATTGGGAGGTTAATTCAATGAGAACAGGGATGGGGGAAGGATAGGAGCGGAATGATTCATATTTCAATTCTCATTATTGCAAAGTTTTACTGTATTTACTGAGTTAATCCTCAACACTTGAATTTTGGGTAGGAAGTGGATTATTTTCCATTAAGCCTTTTACCCAGAAAATTGGTAACTTCCTAGAATGCCTACTAATGTTTTCACCAATTTAATGAATACTTTT